TTTCTTTGCATTATGATTGTTTCATTCATCTCAAAACAATTTATTTTTATTAAAAAATTCATTAAGCCTTTTAAGACTCACTCAATTTATAAAGAAGATTATTATAAACCTAAACACCTGCTGCATTATATATTCAAATTAAGAACTCTGAGTAAAATGGCATCAACATTCTAAAAAATGTGGTACCAATTTTGAATATTTTTATTAATGGTGAAAATTTGCTGCTAGTGAGTATTTAGATAACATGGTTTTCTAAACTGTTAAATATATTCCTTTATTTCTTTATTTTACATATAAGCTTTTACATGCATATAATTGAAAGAGAAGACCAGTTTGAACTTAGCACCATTTACATTGAGACTACACTGGCTGTGTTGAATGAGTTCTGAATCAGAACCAGTTCCTGGCACACATGTTATTGGCCAAATATATGAACACATAGGTATATATAGAAGAAATAAAGCAGCCAAGTACATTTCAGGTCCATGCTTTGTTTTCTTGAGGTAGTTCTTTCTATACTAATAGTAATGCCCCATTTTCTCATGCATGTCCAATAAAAATAAAATGTATGATGTTTATTCATCATAAACATCCATTTTGAAAATGTTAAAGCAGTACTTCTCATCTCCATCTCTGTGGCAAAGAACCTGTTTTTTAGGTTTTTATTTATTGAAGGTAGATGCAAATTTGTTTTTTATTATTTAAATGATACATAAAAACATAAAACTATACATAATAATGGGGTACCATGTGATGTTTCAATATATGAATTATTTAAATGAGGTTAAACATGTCTATCTTCTTAGTCATCTATCATTTCTTTTTTATTATTAATTTATTTTAATTAGGTATATATGACAGCAGAATGCATTTTGATTCATTGTATACAATTGCAGCACAACTTTTCATTTCTCTGTTTATGCACGATGTAGCATCTCATCATATGTGCAGTCATACAGGTACTTAGGGTAATGATGTCCATCTCATTTCATCATCTTTCCTGCCACCATACCCCCTTCCCATCCACTTCCTCCCCTTTGCCCCATCAAAGTTCCTCCATTTTTCCTATGCCTTCTCCATTATGGATTAGCATCCACTTATCAGAGAGAACATTTGGCCTTTGGTTTTGGGGATTGGCTTACTTTGCTTAGCTTGATATTCTCCAACTCCATCCATTTACTACAAATGACATAATTTTATTCTCTTTTAATGCTGAGTAATATTCCATTGTTTGTGTGTGTGTGTGTGTGTGTGTGTGTGTGTGTATCAAGAATTAATAAATGGGATGGACTCAAAGAGCCTACACTTTGGGAGTAAATTTTTCCCATACATACATCAGATAGAGCACTAATATCCAGGATATATAAAGAATTCAAAATATTTAACACCAAAAAATCAAACAACCCAATCAGTAAATAGGCTAAGGAGCTTAACAGACACTTCTCAAAAGAAGATATACATTCGATCAACAAATATATGAAAAAATTTCAATATTTCTAGCAATTAGAGAAATGCAAATCAAAGCTACTCTTAAGATTTCATCTCTCTCCAGTTAGAAAGGTAGTTATCAAGAATACAGACAACAATAAATACTTTTGAGGATGTAGGGGAAAAGGTATACTCATACATTGCTGGTGGGACTGCAAATTGGTGCCTCCAATCTGGAAAGCAGTATGGAGATTCCTTGGAAAACTTGGATGGAACCACCATTTGACCCAGATATCCCACTCCTTGGTTTATACCCAGAGACCTTAAAAACAGCATACTACAGGGACACAGCCATATCAATGTTTATAGCAGCACCACAATAGCTAAATTGTGGAACTAACCCAGATGTCCTTCAGTAGTTGAATGGATAGGGAAACTTTGGTACACACGCAGACACACACACACACACACACACACAATGGAATATTACTCAACATTAAAAGAGAATGAAATAATGCCATTTACAAATGGATGGAGTTAGCAACTATAATGCTAAGTGAAGTGAGCCAATCCCAAAAAATCAAAAGCTGAATGTTTTCTTGGATATGAGGATGCTGGCTCATAAAGGTGTTGGGGAGGGAGTGTGGGAGGAGTGGAGGAACTTTAGATAGGACAAAGGGGAGGGAGGGGAAGGGAGGGGGCATGAGGGTAGGAAAGACAGTGGAATGAGGTAGACATCATTACCTTAAATACATGTATGAAGACACGAATAGTGTAAAATACTTTGTGTTCAACCAGTGACTTAAAAAATTGTGCTCTATATGTGTAATATGAAATGAATTGCATTCTGCTGTCATATATAACATGTTAGAATAAATAAATTATTTTATTTAAAAAAGAATGTTCTTTTACTTGCATAAGCCAAATCTTTTAACTTGAGAGAAGAATATTGCGATTTGAATTGAGAGTGACTATTTAATATAGTACATTTTCTTTTAAAAAACAAGTCTATGACCCCAAAAAGAATATTCTTTTTTAATTTTCTATTAGAGATTTATAATTATACATAGTAGTTGGGTTCACCCAACAGACTCATATGGAATTTTGGTTCATGCCTCTCATTTGATCTTCCCATTTTCTATCTGGTCCTCTCTCTACTTCCCCATTCTCCTTCCTCTATTCTATTAGACTTCCTGTTGCTCATCTATTTATTTATATCTGATTATTTTTTTATTTATACATAAAGGAAAAATTCCCTGTGGTATATTTATGTATTTAACATGATTTTTTAAAGAATTCGTTCTGCATTGTGTCCCCTTTTCCCATCTCTCCATTCTGCCTCTTGATCTCCTTCTCCTACATTACTGTCTTTCCTTTATCTTTATGATATCCTATCGTTTCCTTTCCCTTTATTGTACTTTAGCTTCTGAAAATGAGAGAAAACATACCACCTTTGAGTTTCTGAGTTTGCCTTAATTCACGTAACATGAGATTCTCCATTTTCATTCGCTTACCAGCAAATGCCATAATTTCATTCTTTATAACTGAGTAGAACTCCATTGTCTGTGTGTGTATGTGTATACACACATATAATTCACAATTTTTTAATCCATTCATCTGTTAATGGGTACCTGGGTTGATTCCATAATTTAGCTATATTGAATTATACTGCTGTAAATATTGAGGTGACTGTTTTATAATATGCTGATTTTCACTCTTTGGGTAAAATTTCAAGGAGTGGGATAGCTGGGTCATGTGGTATTCCATCCCTAGTGTTTTGGGGAATCTCTATACTGCTTTCCAGAGTGATTGTACTAGTGTATAAGTGTACCCCTTTCCCAGAACCACACCAGTATTTATTATCATTGGTATTCTTTATCATTGACATTCTGACTGAAGTAAGATGAAATCAAAGTGTAGTTTTGATTTGCATTTTACTGATTGCTGGACATGATGAACATTTTTTCATATATTTGTTGACCTTTTGTATTTCTTCTTTTGAGAAGTTTCTGTTTAGTTCTTTTACCCACTTGTTTATTGATTTATTTGTTTTATTATGAAGATTTTGGAGGTAACATACATAATAATTTGATATTTAATGTTTATGCATGAAAGCCTTCCTCTTTTTTCTTTTTTTCCCCACTAAGTTCTCTTTTGTTAGTTTATCCTAGGAAAATAACCCATTAAATTTCACATAAAGTAGGTATCCCCTGGTTGTTGACTAAGACATTTTAACTAATTGGACTATTGCTTCCCTTTTCTATTCTTTGTCTTCCACTTTTCTTCAGTTGTTGTGGCTATACTTCTCAGAACAGGAGAATATTGATGCTAAAGAATTTGGTAGATATATCCCCTTGCAGGTAGTTTGGTGACTTACATTTCTAACTGTCTGGTCTAAGTACTGAGCTCTTTAAGCAAATCATTAAAACCCATGCCTCAGTTTCCTGAACTGTGAAAGGAGGATAAGTCAGACAATCTCTTTGACCCAAGTAAATTCTAATACTATTGGGGCTTTATGATTTTTTATACTTTTAATTTTACATGACACGCATACTGCTATGCGTTTGATCAAGGTCATCCTTTAATTGATCTCATTAACTGCCTTTTCTTAGGGGTGTTTTACAACTTAAAATTAGCTGCTTTAAATTTTAATTATAACTTATAAAAATTTTCCATACATTTATTTGAGGGAATTTGGTAATCTTTTTCTTCTTCAAGAGGGTAAAAAGACTTCTCATATTTGTGTTTATTTATATAATCCCTTTCAACAATAATATACAGACAATATATTTAGCATGAATTAATAAATATCACTGAAAACTGAAAAGTGAGAACCAAGCAAAGAAGAATAAAAATACACTTACCAAAAATGTCACTATGATTACTTTGGGTGTGCTTCATAATTGACTGTGAGCTAGTACAGCCATGAAAAAAATAATAAAGATAGGTTTAGTTTCATACTTTATACTATAAAAGGAGTATAAAGTATGAAACTACTTGAAGAAGCCAAGTTTTCCTTGATATCATATTATAAAAGAAACTCCTTATGGGTCATTATGTAGAGGACACAGAAATATATTATATACAATTTATTTCTTGCTTTTTTATTTTATTGTTTGTTTATTTTCCTAACTTCGAAGAAACAGAATTTTTCCTAGTATCTACATTCATGACCTGAATACACTAACTGAATAGTTAGTAAAACAATAATTGTTTATAATAGTTAATTTCACATATAAATTGAACTTGTATTTGGGTTTAAAAAATTAAACTCACAAAACTTTACAGTCTTGCTCTCTCAGGCACCATAGTTCTAAGATATAATGATCCATTATCCCATGTTCACATTAGTGCATAACACATTTTATTATAAGTCCTTTATCTGACATCTCCCCAAACCCTCACTTGACTGTGGGCTTCAGTAGGCCAGGAATCCTATCTTATTCACTTGTAATACTAACACTAATCACATTGCCTGTGCATAGTAAAGTACTCAATGCATATTTTAGTGAATAAGTAAAATACTGACTTTAAGAATATTTGTTATCTCTCTCTTTTATAATTCAGAATTATGGCTTGGAAACAGAAAATCTAAAAACCCTTTCTCACAAGTTGAATGCATCTGCCAAAAATCTACAGAACTTTATAACAGGAAGGAGAAGGAGTGGTCATTATGATGGAAGGACCAGCCGAAAATTACCAAATGACTTTCTCACTTCTGTTGTGGATCTGATTGGAGCAGCCAAGAGTCTGCTTGCCTGGTTGGACAGGTAAAATCTTCCACTTGTTTTATAAATAACCCCTTCTTAGATACCCACTTGAATGTAATATTATTTCATATTTTCTTTTGAAGGGATTGAATAGGTAGAAGGGGTACCAAACAATAGATGTCTGATATGACTCATTGCATTATAGGAGTATCACCAAGTAGATATTAATCTTTTGTAAAATTGTATATCTAAATAAGTAGCCAATCAAACATTTATTTGTTTATTTACGTTTTTGGTACTGGGAATTGAACACAGGGGTGCTAATATTGAGCCATATTCCCAGCCCTTTTTAATATTTTATTTAGCGACAGAGTCTCACTAACTTCCTGAGACTGGCTTTGAACTTGAGATCCTTTTGCCTCAGCCTCCTGAACCACTAGGATTATAGGCATACACTTCTGTGTCTGGCTTCCCATCAATAATTTATCTCTAACAACTAAAGAATACTTTTGCTATTTTTAAACAAAAGTCATTATTTGGCTATCATAACGAAGTTTAAAGTATTGTTTTGTCTCCTTATTTTCTTTATTCTTTATATTAGTCATGTTTAAAAAGTGACAATTGGTATTTTCTATATTGTTTTAAATGTGTAAGTAGATACTGACACTTTAATAGCATGCATTATGTGTCTCCTTACCCTTGCATTTATTTATCTTCTGTTATTATTCATGTTGCTCTTTCTTGGAGTATTGTAAATGCACTTTTAGACATTGTTTTTAGTTCAGTTAATTTTAGTTTGCCTTGGAACACATAAAATAGCATAAATTTTTGGTAATATGAAATGAAAAAGATTAGATTAAAATTGTACATTTGGATAAATGTAATGGTAAACCATATTACAGCTGTTTCCTTTAAGAAATAAGCAAGCTCTTTACTTTCATTTTTGACATTTTTTGTAAGGTGTATGTACTGTGTTATACTGGTTGATTAATCACATTTTTAATGAACTTTGTCTTTTATAAGAAACTGATAACAAACAAACTTACCAGAATGATTTTCTTGAATAAATGTCAGTAGGATGTACATACATGTACACATATAACATATCAGTGTTACATTTTAGCTTTTTGAAAACCAACTATATTAAAATTAAAGTCTTTGTATTTTTAAGGTAAAAACTAAGAAACATTTTGGTTAATTTTAATTGTCTAAATTTATATGTATACATATATAAACATAATATAAAGTGATGATCCTAAATTCAACCTAAGTACTAAGCTGTGTTAACTAACTTTTTGATGTTTAATAGAATATTTCTTTGCATTATAATATCATTAAAATTTAATTCTCACAATTATCTAAATCATATTGATCCATCATTAAAAGCAATTGCATTTTAAATAAGTATATTTCAAATGTTATTACTAATGGTTAGTAAATAAAATGCAGCTTATTCCTTAAATAATATAACACAGGATTTTTTGAGAGGCTTCTCAATAATCAGAAAGCTTAAAGAACATATTGATTTTAGTTATATCTTCTTTTACAATCACCTGCCATATAATTGCAAATTTTCCCAGACTTGATATTTCTATTTAGTAAATTCTTTTATGTTTTCTTTTTACTCTGTTAGACAAGTAGATTGTTAGAATGATTATAGAATATTTTTACTTCTTAATAACAGATGACTATTTATAAAACCATAGTGCATTTTAACATTATAGAAGTCTCTGAGACTTTATTGTATTATTAATTTTTATGCTGGTATTATTTTTATCATCTAATAAGATGCTCTTGGTAAATATTAATTCTAAAACATGTACAAAGACATATAGGTGTGCCTACAAATATACAAAAAAAACCACATATAGCAGTCTATGGATCAATCAATGGTGTTTTGTGTTTATTTTATAAGAGAAATGGTGACAAAAAACCTGAAAGAAATAATTTAGGTTGTCTATTTGGCCTCTATTGCTGCAAAGATTCTCACAATGCATATTTTCTCTTATATCATACTATAGTTCTCAATTAAATCAATAAAATCATTTGATATTTTTACTATAAAAATGAAATAAGTACTTGAAAAAATAAAGGAAAATTAAGTTAACTTTAAAATCTTCTATTGAGTTTTTTTGTAAATTTAAAAAAGAAGCTGAACTTTTATTTTCAAGATCTTTCACAGTAAAATTCAGCTCCAGGCTGTCTTGTCTTAATGATGGTTCTTTAACAGCTTAAATTAAGAAAAGAAAAAGGAAAAGCTGAAGGAGAAAAACAAAATAAAGAAACAAAATTCTTTGCCGTGAATTTGTACTTTATGGAAAAGGCAATGGGGAGCTGCTTAGGGTTTTTGTTGCATTCCTATCTGTAAATTTAAAAAGTGACTTGGGCTTCGTGCTGGAAAATATTAGAGAAGAGTAAACTATAAGAAGGGAAACCAGTTAGAAGGCTTTTTTATTTTTTAGGAATTAATCATGCTGCTACTATTGATGGTGATACTAATGTTAACTTTGGTGATGACAATATCTGTGGGGCACAGATACCTCCAGACACACTCTGTTTGGTCAAAACAAGCCAAAAAAAAAAATAAGGATGTCTTCATTTGCATATAGGAAAAACTAGAAATTTGTGAGGTTAAATCCAAAACCAAATTTTAAGTAAATGAAGGAGCCAGGAGTCATTTCTGAGAGTCTAACTACAGGAATGTATTCATTCTACTGCTTTTGGTTGAGATTTTAAATTTGAAAAGCAGTGAAAAGAATGGAAGAAAGAGTTATTTATGCAGATAAATAATACCCAGTGACAAGTAAAATCTAGAGAGTAAGAGAAAGGAAGATATTGGAATAAATAAGTTGTCTGAGTTAACTGACTCAGTGGATGGTGGTATTCTTATCAAAACAGAAAGGTTTAAGGGTAATTATTATAAGAATAGAGTCTACTTATCCTACTCAGTTTTTTAAAATACTTAAAGCTTCTAATAATTTATAGGACTTACTTTTAGGTATTATGCTTATAGTTTCATCTATCTACTCTTTTATATATGCTTTAAGAGAGCAGAGATTTTTCATCTGCTTTGTTTATTGATATCACAATTATCTAGAAGAATTCCTAGTGTATATTATCTGTTTATATAAATATAAATATAAATATAATTTTTGTTGGTACCAGGAATTGAATCAGGGGCACTTAACCACTGAGCCACATCCCCAGCCCTTTTTAATTTTTTTTTTTTATTTTGAGAAAGGGTTTCACTAAGTTGCTCAGAGCCTCCCTAAATTACCAAGGTGGCTTTGAACTTGCAATCCTCCTGCCTCCGCCTCCTGAGCCACTGGGATCACAGGCATGCACCACCCCAGCTTCCAAAAATATTTTTGAATCAATGGAGAGAGGAGTTGAGAATGGAATCATTAAAGCAAGGACAGTGAAGAGTTTGAAGGACTATCTAAACTTATATGTAATAAATCCAATCTGATGACTGGGTAATAAAGACTTCGAAGGAAAAAAAGAAAGTAGTCAATAGGTTCAGATATTGAGAGATTAAGTAGGGTAAGGAATCAAAGTGTTTGCTAGATTAAGGAAATCAGGATATGACTTTAGTTGGTTGGAAGTTAAGGTAAGTGAGAATTCTTGGAAAAAAAATCTATGAAATTATTTGTACTTCAGAATAGTTTTATATAATACTAACTTCCCCTTTTCACTGATTTTTAATCTTTTAGATTAGGAAAAAAGGAAAAACAAATTATCAGTACCACTAATATATTGGGAAACATAACTTTGCTTTCTCTTCTTCCCTGGGTTGGATGAAGATCTATCTTAACTGCTCCTTAGCTTATATAAATTTTATAAGGTACTGAGATCATTTTAAATATAATAGAAATTTAGGGCTAGCATGTATGAGGCTCTGGGTTTGATCCCCAATACTGCAATAAATGATAAGCAAATGAGTGAATGAAACAATTGAATAGAATTCTATCTATAACTGTGCCAGATGAAATATTTAGGCAATTTGTTTTCCCAACAAGTGGTATAGACTTTTAGTAGACATTGTTAGCGTGCATGTGTTTAAATTATATTTTTATTCCTTTCAAAGAAGCAAAATATTTTCTAGGTAGCAACAGGAGTGCCAGGTAATACTCCACATGTCTTCCTGTTTCAGTGTATCTTGTAATGTTTATACAGAAAACAAAACACTCTAACTAAATGCTAGAAAAAAAAAGAACAGTGTTCTCCATGACTATTATTGTGAATCCCCCAAATACATTGTGATGTGGTATAAAAAAGCAGAGGACTGAGAAAGAACTGAGTCTCAGCTCTGCCTCTAGCTCTTGGTAATAACCCCTAGCCTCTGTATTTTTATTTTCTTTTTAGAATAAGGGTGAAAGGTTTGCAGAATTTGAAGTTCACTTCTAAATACGAATGTTTTATAATTGATTGATCTTGTTAACCAAAGCCAAATGAGTGATATTTCCAAATTATTCCCCTTTGTGTAATATTAAAGAATAAACACTTAAAAAATTGTTTCTGACTTTTAGAATTGTGATTTAAGTGCCTGCCTACCTCTCCTAAAATATTTAGTTAATATTTTTTATTTATTTCATCTTAAGTTCTAGAAATAATCTACCTTAATATTTTCTTTATGTAAAGTTAGAGTACATCTTGTCGTTTAATTTGTTTTCTTTTGAAACTTAAAATTAAATATTTAGTTATAAAATTTCCATACAAATAATGCCGACCAAAATTTCTTACTGTTTTGGTTTGTGAGTGTAGATTTGACTGAATTTGGGAGTTATTAAATGGCCGCTGCAATTGAATTTTGCCAAGTATTTGATATTTACCTTTAGTTTACTCTTTTGGTATGCAACATAGTATATAATTCGCTAGTTGAAGAATAAAATTTTATCTGTTTAATATGACTGTTTTGATGTTGAACAACTGTTTTTGCTTTTAAAGAGTGGTAATTTTTTGGCATTAAGAAATTTGTTATTTGTGACATTTTGGAGAGAACTTGCATGCAAACAATATGATTTAGGTTTATTGCAGTTTTATTTTATGTTGCTTAAAGG